ATGAAAGTGTTTCGATTGAAATACAAAAATCAATTAAATGAAGAATGAATCTGATGTAAGATCAACATCATGAGAATCGCGATTCAGAAGGAGCTTGAATCGATTACACAAAAAGTGATTTAGGCTTTAAATTGAATCATATGAATAATAACGATAATGTTTGAAGAACAGTAACTTATCAAGTGTACAAATATCTTCAGTCAATCATGAGATAATCATCGATTGTTAATCGAGACAAACCATGAGTGATCGAACATATGGATGAACCGAATGAATGATATACAACGCAACCGACGCACACGATGTTTTTAGAATAAATAAATAAATTAGGGCTTAAGATAATAGATCGTGTATAGTAATGAACCGGAACTTTGGGCCAAATCAATAGAAATTGATCTACGAAGCAATAGACTGATTTTGAACAAAACAATCGACATATGAATAAAATGTGAATTGGATTGAAATTATACCCATATGAACAGTAGCAAACATCACGAATCCCATGAACATTAGCTTGAACAGAATTTTGATTCCAAAATGTCAAAACACCAATAATCTTCAATAACTTGTGCAGAAAAATCATCAAATCAAGAACCGATACTTCAAAAATCAATCGATCTTCAAAGACCCGCTCTGATACCACTTGTTAAGATTAAAACCCTAATTGAGATTTTATGAACAAGATGCGGAAAATAAGAACAAACACAAATATGAAGATTAGGTCGAATGATCACTCGATGTATTGAATTGTGAGGAACAAATTACACTTAAGAAATAAGAATCTAACTCTACATAGCTCTACAAGAAACCTCACAATGTGGCGGCTACATTTTGCCTCACTCTCTTAACCCTAATATGAATAATACATGACTATTTATAGGGAAAAGACAAGTCTTGGGCTTTTAACCTAGAATTCATCAAAGGGGCCCATTGTCATCATCCATGGAGTGCTTTGAAACCCTACAATTATGAACACAAGAATAAAACCCTAAAGAACAATGTTATTTTCGAAATTAATATACAAGGTTAGATTACATACCTCTTGTTGTTATATTGCAATAACAACTTAAATCTTTAAACCCTAAGTCTTGAAAGCAAGCACCACAAGTGTAGTGCCTCTAATGGCTCACACACACCACAAGCAATTGGAGAGTCTATAGAGAGAGAAGGGAGGAGGTGGAAATCATCCTTAGGACTTCTTAGAAGCATGTACACGAATTCCCAAGGCCTAGGGGTCTTTATATAGGGTTTAGATTAGGGTTTCAGTCCTTATCCTTATCCAGTTACTTGCCCACCAAGCGACCACAAGATACGCCTTGAAAACCCTTATCTCTTGGACCTTGGACAATTTTAAGGATATCCTTATCCTTGAATTCGTCCATCCTTAAACAAGGATAACCATTGCCCTATTTTGCAACTATCACATTATTACAATTCAGCCCCTTTAGTTTAATTAATTACACTTCATCACAAAATTAATTCCTAATTAATTATTGACCAATATTAATTAAACAAATATGATTTCTCCTTTAATATATTATTCTTATAACATATTAATAAATCATAATAACCTCTTTCTCTATTTATTTCTCCAGTCAAGTTGCTTTGGTGAAGACAACCCAAAAGGACCATGCACAACTGGGTCAAGTACTTGCCTAATATAGTTGCAGCCTTAGACACTATTCCAACATGACGTACCTCACGGATCATCCGAATTTGATCATGAATAAGAGGTGATGGTTAGATCAGTTGAAGGATTATGATTGTGAGATCTTTTATCACCCAGGGAAGGCCACCGTGGTGGCCGACGCTCTGATCTGCAAGGCAGTGATGGCCCCGATCAGAGGCATTTGTTTGAGGATGACGGTGATTACTCCCTTATTAGAGAAAATCAAAGAGGCGCAGGCCGAGGGCCTTAAGGAGGAGAGGCAGAAGTGTGAGAGGATTGTGAGCCGAGTAACTTCTTTTGACTACGATAGTCAAGGATTGTTGACCCTTCATGGGAGGGTATGGGTACCGTACTGGGGCGAACTACGACGGTGTTGATGGAAGAGGCTCATAAGTCTCGATTTTCAATCCATCCAGGGGAAACGAAGATGTATAGGGATCTTCGACCCGACTATTGGTGGCCCTGCATGAAGTGGGATGTCGCCTGGTATGTGGAAAGATGCCTAACCCTGCAGGAAGGTTAAGGCGGAGCACTAGAGGCCTCACGGCATGATGCAGCCGTTGGACATACCAGTGTGGAAATGGGAGGATATCACTATGGATTTCATTACTAAGCTTCCCAGGACCACACGTGGAGTGGATTCGATTTGGATTATAGTAGATCGGTTGACGAAGAGTGCCCATTTTATACCGATCCAGGAGAGCATATCGACTGAGAAGCTATTCGATATTTATGTGCAAGAGGTGGTGACACGGTATGGAGTGCCTGTTTCAGTGGTGTCAAACAGAGATGTCTGATTTACTTCTAGATTTTGGAAGCGGTTTCACAAAGAGATGGGTACTCGTCTCCTTTTTAGCACCACTTTCCATCCTCAGATGGACGGACTGAGCGAGAGAACGATTCAGACCCTCGAGGACATGCTGTGGGCATGTGTCCTAGATTTCGGTGGCAGTTGGGATACGTATCTTCCGCTAGCGGAATTTTCGTATAACAACAGTTACCATTCGAGTATTGATCGACCTTATTTCGAGATGCTTTATGGGAGGAAGTGCAGGATCACGATTTGTTGGGGGCGAGGTCGGTCAGCGAGTCATTGGGAGCGCTGAAGTGGTGCTCAAGACAACAAAGCTAATCCAGCGGGTTCATAGCAGACTGTAGACTGCGCAGAGTCGGCAGAAGAGTTACGCCGATAGGAGGCGTTTAGACTTGGAGTTCCAGACGGGCGATATAGTTCTCCTGAAGGTATCACCCTGGAAGGGTGTTATCAGGTTTTGGAAGAGGGGGGAAGTTGGGCCCCAGGTTCATCGGTCTTTTTAGGGTTTTGGCCCGGGTGGGACGGGTTGCTTATCGGTTGGATCTCCCGGCAGAGCTCAGTCAGATCCACAACACTTTCCATGTTTCCCAGTTGAGAAAGTGTTTGGTGGACGAGTCAGCAGTTGTACCCTTGGAGGACATTCAGGTTGATAGCAGCCTGAATTATATTGATAAACCCATAGCGATCATAGATCGGAAGACGAAGACCTTGAGGAGCAAGGTGGTTCAGTTGGTGAAGGTGCAATGGGTAGCACCGGAAGGGTTCCGAGTAGACATGGGAGGCGGAGGAGGAGATGAGGGAGCACTACCTAGAGTTGTTTCTAGAGTCAATAGACTTCGAGGATGAAGTCTAAGATAAGTGGGGGAGACTGGTAACGCCCCGTTCTTAGTATGTATTTATTTTGATTAAATGCTCTTTTAGGAAGAGCTACTCGGCGAGTTGTAGCCCTAACTCACCGAGTAGATGTCGAGTTGGATAATGGGTTTTAAGTGACCTACTCGACGAGTCCACGCATGGACTTGGAGAGTAGGCGAATCATGAGGAGACCCTAATTCTTAGGGTTTGAACATATTTAAACGTCCTTATAGCCCCCATTTCGTCCTCCATCACCCTCAGAGCATTCCTTATCAAACCCTACCCAAATCTTAGTGAGTGTGTGTGTGTTTATTGCTTGTGAAGGCATCTTTGGAGTAAGAAGGAGAAGGAGAAAGTTGGAGAGTTCAAGGAAGAGGAAGTGGATCCACAATGTCGGCCCGTTTAATTAGTAGTAGTTTCCAGACCTCGGTCTGATGCAGTAGTTAGAATGTTTGATGCCGTTGTGGCTCAGACAGTATTTATGTGTTATGTGTTCGGGGCTACGACCCGATGCTGTATGCAATTTATGTATCCATGCTAGTTGATATGTTTATGTTATGCTATGCTATGCAATGGTCAGTTAGTTTCCGAACTTCAGTCCGATGCAGTTAGTTCTGGAATTTGGTCCGATGCAGGGTACAAGGTCCCAGTCAGTTCCGAACTTTCGTCCGATGTAGTCAGTTCTGGACTTCGGTCCAATGCAGGGGACAAGGTCCCAGTCAGTTCCGGACTTTGGTCCGATGCAGTCAGTTCCGGACTTCGGTCCGATGCAGGGGACAAGGTCCCAGTCAGTTCCGGACTTCGGTCCGATGCAGATTCCAGACATCAGTCCGATGCAGTTTCCGGACTTCGGTCCGATGCAGTGGGCAAGGCCCAATATGTGTTTATATGTTATTGTATGGTATGTGGTAGCTTGGGGTAACTCACTAAGCTTCGTGCTTACAGTCTTAGTTTTGGTTTCAGGTACTTCCGCAAATAAAGGGAAGAGCTCGGGTTGATGGTATCGCACACATCACAGCTTTAGCTTGTCATAGATATGATTTGATACAGTCTTGATACAATTTTCTCTTAATACTTTGCTATGGTTTTGAGATATTGACGTACGAGTTTTATTTTATGATATTGACATGATGTTTTTGTAATTATTAAACAAAAATTTTTGGGTCGTGTTTTGGGATGTTTCAACGTTTTATATTCTTTTATTGGTTTGTACACTAGTTTATTTAAAACAATATGATAAATTGTTAAATAATAGTATTTTTATAAACTAGCTTTAATGTATTTTCATATAAAAATGAAATTGATTTGTATAAAAAAATTATTTAGGCACATTTATTCCCCCTCTCCCTCTCCCCCCTCGGAAATAATTAAAATATTAAAATGGGCCGTAGGCACTCATATTCGTAACGTGAGCTCGAATTGTTCGGAGTTTGTTTATTTTTGGAAAGCTTGACGTGAGAAACCACAAATCCACCAATCATTAACTTTGAAGCACTCTCGGGACCGCTTCATAACAAATACAAACTATTAGGGGTTGTTTGGTAACTTAATTAACCGAAGTGGGACTCATTTGGTAAAAATAATTTCAAAAGATGGGCTAAAATGGTTATTTTTATTCAAGGTTTGAAGATTCGAATTTATTCTGCTAAAAATAACCAATTGATGGGTATTTGTGGATAAATGGATTCACCTTTTGGGGATTGGGACCTATTTTGAATAAAGAATTTAACAGTAGGGACATTTTAGTCATCTCATAAAATGACTTCAACTTAGAGCTCATAAGTCCCGTGTTTCATTCGATCGGTCAAGGAAGGGAGGCAATATACGGACCAAAATGAGATAGAATACACGAATCTAGCAAACCAGAGGGAACGCAAAGGCAGCAAAAATTTGGATGCGGTGGTTCATCCGTTCGAAGACAGGAAATGGAATAAGGAAGACTCAATCGATCGGGAAGGAGAACGTCGTCTCCGGTGTTTGACGACGCCGAAGGGGAAAAAGATCGAGGCTGCGGGGGAAGAGGCGTATGAGGGTAGCGGCGTCGTTTCCGTGGTTTGGTCGAACCGAAGGAAGAGAAGAGGCAGAAGTAGCGGGCTTTCCCTCTTTCCCGTCCGGCTGCCAGGTGCGAGGAAGGACGAGGTCCTAGGGGCAACGCAGTCAGTGCCGTTAGAGGGGGTTTGGACCTGCTGTGAAATCGGGGAAGAAAAGGGGGGATTAAGGGGATGAGAGGGGTTCGATCAGTGGGAAAGAAGGGTTCGATTGGGGCCGAAGAGAAGGAAAGAGGGGGATGGCAGCGAGGCTGCTGGGGCCTCGGTGGTTACCCTCGGTTGTTTGCGATCCATCAGCCGAAGGGGAGAAGTACACATCGAAGGTTGCAGGTAAGTGGACGGGGCTGTTTCAGCAGTCCCGTGTTTTTTTTTAATCAATCAATAGGTAAGAAAATGGTCTTGTGGGATGTTTGATATATCATGAATCTATGGAATGAACAAATTAGATATTTTGAGATTTGCTTTTGACAGAAAATCGATGGGGAAAAGGATTGTTTCATTTGGTGTTTGATTTTTGATAGGGAACGAACGAGGGGGGGGGGGGGAGGAGGAATGTACAGTCTCTTGTTCTTCTTCTTCTTCGACTGAAGATCTATAGACGACAAGTAAAGAAGAATATATCATCTTTTTGAATAGATTTCAATGTACTTTTATGTTATTTTGAAGAAGGTCTGATCGTATCAATCTTACATGATTTTGGATTGTATTGAATTTGGCTGTGAAGGGAAAGAGTGTGAGTAAAATTTGGTGAGAAAGAGTGTAAGAAACTCTTTAGTGTGATTTTTGTAAAAAGAAGTGTGAAAGCAACTATTACTTAGCTGTTATCCTTAATAGCTGTATTTATTTTAGTTCATGATTGATGTGTTTTTGAGTCAAAGAAATAAGCAAGGTCAAAGATTTTCTAAATCAAGTGGGTGTAATGTATTTTTAGGTATTTTAATAACAATTCCATATACATATAGTGTATATGTATTTATTTTATAGTTTTTATATATGTGTGTGTATATATGTTCGGTATAGCTATGGGAATCAAGTATTATAAGTATTTGAGTTATAACATGCATTTTATACATCTATTTGTGTATGTATTAGTATATTGCAATAGTTCATTTATAGATTGTATAGTATAGTGTAGGAGTTGACCATTCTTGTATTTAGACACATATTTATCAATTTCAAATCCCTTAATCTAATAAATAAGTAGATTTTTGCCACGTGGTATTCTCTAAGCCTCCCCCATCGAATTTTTCTCGCTTCTATCATCTAACTGAATTTTCAAAATTGCCACTCCTAATTTTGAAATCAAATTCGTCTGGTAACTGACAAGATTTTCAAATTTGTGGCCGAAATATCAACTACTGATCACCGGAATTTTGGACTGCCATCCTCCCTCACCATAAACCCTATTCTCTCCACCCTCTTTAAAAACCTCATCAATCTCAGGACCTAGTTCTCAATTTTCACACATATATTAATCTTGAAGAAAATTCAATTTGATTTTCATCCATATTCGTCATCACTCACCCTTTAACATGATAGAAAACATAACCTTGTCATTTGCATTTTCAACTTAGTTTTTTCTAATAAGCAATGTACCGTCAAAGAAAACCCTAGACATCATCACCGCTACTCTCTTTGAAAACCATAGTTCCCCAATTGTCGCTATCACCCAAGCTGCACCATAAAAAAAATCATAAACCACACTGTAGGTATATTTGCTCATTTTTGACTGAAATACTTGATTTGCTTTTGGCATTCAGACCATCTTTTGCTTCTTTTGGTTTCTTGAAGACGAGATTGAAGTTATTTGTCATTGTGTTTTAATTATTTCAGGTACAATCCTCTTGCTATGATCAATCCGAGAATTCACTCTCTCAGTCAAAAGGTAAAATAAATTCTTCAAAGATCCATATGTGTAGGTATTGCTGTTTTTTTTTTTTCCAAGTTGACACACAATCACAATCACTTACTATTAGTCTCTTATGCTTATAAAATTGTTTTAGATATATAGTTTATTGGTGTGACCCTTATACATGAGTTCTTGCATCCATTCAGAATCAGAATGGTTTATTTATTTGGGTATATCGTGGTGTTGAAATATTGACATGTTTGTTGTTCTTATGATATGCACTCTAAAGTAGCCTTTAGTTAATTATTTTATAGCTTAAGTTTGCTAAATTTGGCGTCACACATCTCTTTCTAATATACAGGGTCCATATAAGGTTAAACACATAATCATTGGTGGCCCATATAAGGTTAGTAATTTTGTTCAGTTTTATTATATCTTTACATGTTCTTGCGTTATTCATTTTTCCCTTTTTCTTTACCTTTAATAAAATCATAACATGTTTATGTTTATAGAATTGATTGCTTATTCGTGAATGTATTTTGTTGTATCTGTTTCAATTATAGCATCTCAAAGTACAATGATATTATGTTGAAAGTAGAATGTTATAATCCTCATGATAAGTATCACATTAGGATGATGCAATAAACACGACCCCATGATAACAATATATTGTAGCTTACTCAATGACCTGATATTTGTGTATGTACTCAAGTGTTTTTGGAGGAATTACAATTATGTTATTACCCCTTCTGTTACTCCATTTTTGCATACGTTACAATTACATCATTACCCCTACTCTTAATCCATTTCTCATATGTTACAGGATGATTGAAGTGTAATTTTTAAAGAGGCTGTTGAATGTTTTTTTTTTTTTTTTTTTTTTTTTTTTTTTTTTTTTTGTAATTTAAATAGGGACCATCCTTCAAATTTATGAGAGGGAGCATTACAATAATTTGTATAACAGGGAATGAATGAATGAGATTTTTTCCAAAAGAATGGCAGTTATGACACCTTTTTGTCAATTTAGTCATTTTGATATTTTTTGTGTAAATTTCACAGTTATATTTTAACTTTTTTTATTTGTTATTATGGAATTACAAGCTCGAAACCTACCTAATTGCACCATTTTACTTTATTATGTTTTCCAAATTATTATGGTGCTCTTTTATTATTATTATTATTATTATGGCATGGTACATTGTAATAAACGGCAAAGTATTATTATTGCACTGTACTTTATTTTTTTCTCCAAATTATTATGGCTTTCTATTTCTTTTATGGTAAAAAAAATGGTTGTTTTGGCATAAGGTGACAATGTTTTTAAAAAATGACTTTACATGAAAAAAAGGGCGTTTTAAAACAATTTTTAGCATTTTAAACGAACATTTTATATCAAGTACAATTGAGTAAAATGAGCACATTCATGTCAAAATGAGACAACTTGACAAAGTGTGTCACACCCCCAAACCAAGGATGGCGGAAACGTCTGGGGGTGGAGGACTTCATGTACAGTATCACAACAACGTGTATAATAGTGCTCAAAGTAAAAACAACCACACAAATATAATTGCAAAAGTTACACCAAAGTATATGTTTACATGTTTCAAAAGCAATTACATTATGATGACAAAATAAATTGTTGACGGTTTAGCGTCCCATCCTCAAAGCGATGAAGTTTTCCTGTTTCACTGATTTCCTGAGAATACAAGTAGTTTTAAAGAGTGTCAACACAAAGGTTGGTGAGTTCATAAGAGTTTTGTTTGAAGTAGAAACCGTTTTTCCTTGTAAAATCGATTTAGTTTGATTTCCAGAAAATCCAATATTTTCTTAGTTAAGTATGAATAGAAATAATCCTACATGATGCTGTAATGAACCCTAGAGTAATCCGTAGAGTTCCTCTATAATCGTCCAACATATAAAGTTATATAAGACTTAACTTAGATAAAACGTTGAATATAGTGGGTCTGCCCTAGGTCCACAACCCAACGAGGAACAGGAGATGAGGCGGGCACCACCAATTCTAGGCCAATCAAGACTAAATTCTTATATGACTCAACATATACGCTCAGCGACTATAGTTGAAGTCTAACAATTTTAGAGGATGTGTAGTTTTAATATCATAATAGCTTTGTATAGAGACCCGGTACTTCGTATTTGTACCCATAGAGATAAAAGGTGATTTTAAATCGACATAAAACTCATTTAGGTTTTAAAAATAAAATCCCGTAAACTTATGGATTGTTCCCTATGTGAGCCGTTATAATCATACTATGACTATGTGAACCTGCCACGACGTTCTCAGTGTCGCGAAAAATGAAATGACATTTGTCACCCGTAGACCTGCAGGTCCAACTGTAGCTAGCAGCAAGGTGTGGGGTGTCAATCCCAATATAGATCTATATACAAGTATCACGTTCTCCCTCAAGGAGATTCTGATTATAACTACCAGGAATTATATCCCGCACTCGGACGTACGGGGAGAGATAGAGAAACTCACAATATAGGATAACAAGTTTACGTTAAATGTTTGTGAATATAAATATTTCTTGTATGAATGTACCCTTTTTGTACGAGTGCAGAGTGATGTATCATAAACTATACCTATTATAGTTTATCTAAAATGTATGTAATATGTATGAATCCTTTTATGGAGATGTATTAGTGTTGTGAATTTATCAAACCATAGATTAACTTACGTGAAATGTGTGCGAATAGAAATCTTTCTTATATGAATGTACACTTCTGGTACGAGTGCGTAGAGTGATGTATCATAAACTATACCTATTATAGTTTATCTAAAATGTGTAATATGTATGAATCCTTTTATGGAAATGTATTAGTGTTGTGAATTTATCAAACTATACTTTTTATAGTTAAATAATACGTGTTCCAAAATGAATGGATAATATTTAATATGAATGTCTTAGTTTCAGTTCATAATGATAAACTAACTAGGAAACACATTCAAACATTAAACTTATGATTATACACTTTGCTCAACATAATACAAAGTGTTATGATATTTACATGCTGTTGGTAAAATTTAGCAATTCTGCCCTGTTTTGGAAAAATCATAGAAAAATCATACGAAGTCGAAAACTAGATCCGTAAATTCTGAGAGTTCACAAAATGTGTCTAGTTTGCTCATAATTTTATCACAATTTATAATGACCTCTAACTTGGGTGAAAAAGTCCAAATCACAGACTGGTCCGGATTGTTGTTTGAAATGATAGGCAGTTTTGTAAAAATCACCATAAATTGTAGAAAAATCGTATGGAGATGTGCAAGTAGCCATTTTAAAGCTAAAAACTTGAACTATTTGCACCTT